CCATGAGAATGTCTGATGGGAGAGGCTGAAGGTCAGAGAGCCTGAAGGCCTTGTTCTGTAAAAGTGCTCTTTGTCCCATAACTGTCCTGAGAAAGACCCAGGGACCAGGGCTCCACCCCATCGGTCATTCCTAGAAGCTGCAAAAAGACTGGAAATGTGTGATGGGAAACACTCGAACAAATGTTCAGGTCCCGAGACCCCTGGGAAGAAGACAGAATAGGGGTGGTGAGAGACCGAAGTGTTGGTCTCAATGGCCCTGGCCTTCCCAGGAATTCTAGAACTAAGAACCAGGAGATGGGTCGAGGTCTATATGCAGCCAGAGGAAGCGTGGGAGGTGCCAGGCCCAGGACAACAGGGTGGTACTGAGCCCCTGTTGGAAGACTTGGGGGCCAGTCAATGGCATGGTGGTTAAGGAGGCTGGATTCCATGTGGCTAACTGAATGATTCAAGTCTCAGACTAGGTGGCTTGAAAATATGACAGGTGTGTGTATATGTGTGTGTGTGTGTGTGTGTGTGTCTAAAACCCTCAGAGGAGAATGGAGAAGAGATTGTGGTGTGAATATCCCCACTGGAGGGTGATTTTTCATGTTCCTTCTCACTGTCTCTCTGTGTCTCTCTGTGTGTCTCTCTCTGGCTAGTGTGTGTACTCTACAGTATCTTGGAAGACTTAGAAAAGTCCTGAGGCCTTGCCAGGATTTGACACTAGATGGAACCAAGTGTCTTCCTGCTGCCCACCTCAGGGATGGGATGTCATTTGTTTCTTGCAGGTTTGGAGGACGTCTCTCATGAGGACCAAAAGTGGAGAGAAGGGGAAGTCTGGGTTTAGCTGAGAATGGGGACACTTATGGCTCTAGGACCAGCTTTCGGTCCACATCCGGTACCTGGAAGCTTTGACCGAATGTCTCCGTGCCCGCGCCCCCACCCAGGGGACCCAGGAGTGCAGAGGGTGGGAGTTGAGGCCTCTGGCCTGGCATGACAAGGTCCAGTTCCAGTTTCTTCCTCATCTGACCTGTTGTTCTGGGTGGCAGCGAGCAGCCGTCCCCACTGTTGTGACCTCCAGTGACCCAGAGAAAATTCTCTTTACGAGCGGAGAAGCTTTTCTTCTTTTTATAAGAGAAAAGAACAATCATGTTTTACTTAAGGACTCTGTGTGTGTGTGTGTGTGTGTGTGTGTGTGTGTGTAAACATTTCAGGGTCTGCAGGCCTTATCCTGCTTCCCAACAAGACCAGCCTGCAGGTAGTCAGCAATTCTCCGAAAGAGGAAACTGGGGTGGGGTGGGAAGGCAAAGGAAGGGGGACAGGAAGAAGGCTGCATCTGAGAACCTGAGAACCTTCTCTTTCTCCCACGCCATGCTCATCCACGCAGCCCAGAAGCTGCCCAGAACGTCCATGCTGGCTCCACCTGGGCCCACAGACAGCCAGGTTTCCCCCGAGTAGTGCATTTCCCTTGGCTCACCTGCGAGCCCAAGGTAAATCTCTAACTCTCCACAAACACATCAAAAAATAAGTGACGTGAGGCTGGTCCCATACTACAGTGGTGACATTCCATGAATTGGAAGGTGGAGTCCATGTAGTCAACTACAGTCTGGTTCCTGGTCCTAGTGGCCTGAAAAACATGTCGGCCTGTGTGCATGTGTGCCCCAATCGTGATAGTACAGGGAGGTGGAGGAAAAATGATTGCAGTGTGACCACACCCTGTTAGGGATGTGTGCTCGCTCTCTCTCTCTCTCTCTGGTGAGCACATGCACCCTCCGGCAGTGAAAAAATTCACAAAGTGTGAGATGATTTTCTTAAAAGTGGATTGTTAAAAATCACATTGTGTGTGTGTGTATGTGGGGGGGGACCAGAAGATGGAATAATGGTTACGTTGCTGGACTCCCACATGACTGAGCATGGTTCGAGTCCCAGACCCAGAGGCTTGACACATGCTGGGCACATGTGAGTGCATGCCCAAAATTCTGAGAAGAGAAGGGAGGAGAAGGGATTGTAATGTGGCCATCCCCCCTTGGGGGGTGATTTCTCACTTTCTCTCTCTCTCTCTCTCTCTCTCTTTCTGTCTCTCTGGCAAACACACGCACCCTATAGCAAAAATCTTGCTCTCAAAAAAAAAAAATAAAATCATATTGAGGGGCCAGCAGGTGGCGTCGTGGTTAGGGTGCTGATTCACACATGGCCAACCATGGTTCAAGACCTGGACCAGGTGGCTTAAAAATCACAACAGATAAATAAATGTTTGAAAGAAAAAATCACATTGAAGGGGGCCAGCAGGTGGCACAGTGCTTAAGTTGCTAGACTCCCACATGGCTGACCACAGTCTGAGTCCCAAACCTGGTGGCTTGAAAATCATGCCAGGTGCATGCCCTGGATCCTAGAAGGAGAATGGAGGAGAAGAGATTGTAGCATGGCCACCCCCCCACACCACTGAGGGGGTGATTTCTCATATTCCCTGTCACTGTCTCTGTCTCTCTGTCTCTCCAGTGAGTGCACCCACCCTAAGGCCAAAACCTCTTAAATCACATTGAATAAAAAGATACCCATATATTAGGCTGTCCAAAAAGTCATTATGCATTTTTGCATAGAAAGAATAAGCCATGACTTGCCCTACAACCCAGTACATAATCACATCATTTGTCCCCGTCCTCCATCAGACCAATGGCATGGCCTACTCTCTCTAGACCATCGAGGTGGATCGGAGGCCGCTGTCTCGGCTGCTGCAGAGTGCCTTTGTGGGCTCATATTCTCTTCAGTGAGTGGTTATCTGGATATGGCTTTGTAGTTTGGTCATTTGTTACTCTTGCAAGTACTCAGACTGATCCAGAACATGCTTCCACTTAGTTTTAGTCTCACCAAGTAAAGGAAAGAGACGGCCTTTTCCATATAAGGGAGTTAGGGGACCAGCAGATGGTGTCATGGTCACATCACTGGACTCCCACGTAGTTAACCATGGTTCGAGTCCCGGACCCAGCAGCTTAAAACCCACACCTGGTGTGTGTGCCTGCATGTCCAAAATCCTAAGAGGAGAATGGAGAAGGGATTGTGGTGTGGCCATACCCTCGGGGGGGGAGTGTGTGTGTGTGTGTGTGTGTGTGTGTGATGTCTCACTCCCTGCCTCTCTCTCTCTCCAGTGAGTATGTGCACCCTATAGCAGAAATCTTATATATTATATATGTCGATGCACGCCTCTGCTGGCTAGACCCCAGATTTTGATGCCCCCCCACACACACACACACTCATACACACACACCCCTTCCCTCTCCTTGAGGTCAAAAACAGAAATTTGAATTTAGGGAAGTATAGCCTGGACTCTACCACAGGGAACCTGTCCCTGTTTGTATTCACTGTAGGCCAATCACCTCGTGATGGAGGGGCAGGGGGGCTGAGAGACACACACACAGGAAAGACCTTGCTGAAAACCAGGCAACCCGGTGACAGCTGTCTGGAGTTCTTGACAGCTCAAGGTAGGGTAAGCTCTCTTCTTCCAGTATTATCCATATTTTGGCCAAGAAGCACATTTATATCACTGTGCTAAGGAGCAGGGACATGGCCTTCAGGGGGTCTAAATACCCAGAGGCACCTCTTTTAGAATGGGGAGGGGGTAAGGGGAGTAAGCTAGGATGCAGGACCGAGATCCTCTCGGTCTTCGTGGAGAGAATTTGCGCCATGGCTGCGCTTCTTAATTCTCCGGGTGGTAGCTGAGGCTTGGCTTTCAACAGGAGTCGCCTGGACCTTCAACGTGTCTCTTTGTTGTCCTTAAACTGAGGAATTCATGTTACATAGCAGTCTGTGATAAAGTGTGTCTTGGGGGCAGAGTGCATACGTTTTGTGCTTGGGTTTTTAAGAAAAGAATGGTCAGGAAAGAAAAAAAAAATCATTCAGGGACGGTCCGGTGGCTAGTCAGAAAGGTGAGAGACTCTGGCTTTGAAAATGGTTCAGGCTCTGCCCTTTAACTTCAATGCCCTCCCTCCGGACTGCTCTGAGCAGACGATTCAATTGACTCCTTTTGTAGCCGGTTTATTGCTCAGAACCCCTAGGGTCTCGATTTGCTCACAGAAGAAACGTGACCCATTGAGCCGTTCTCCATGGCAGCCCCTCCCGTCTCCCCATTCCTTTTTCTGGGCAGAGCGTGGCGAAGACGGCCTCTGAGCCGGCGTTAAAGACAGTCATAGGGCATCAGTCAGGTTTGCGAGCCGCGTCCCATGGGCGCATTGTTAGATCCAGCGCGGAGTCTGGAACGCCTCCGGTGCGAGAGACCAGGTCGCCTTCCAACCCCACCCGCACACATTCCGCAAACCACTCGATTCCGTGAAAAGTCAGGGCGCAGGGCTAGAAGCCCCAAACAGAACCCAAGCCTGAGTCCGCACGCGCTTTGGGTATGGGGTGGAGAATGGACAGGCCCAACCCCTGAGCGCAGCTGCCCACGGGCTGCCCAGACTGCCAGTGGTTTCTGCTCCCATCCAGCGAGAAGCGAACGCTACGGGAACTCTTCCCGCCGTCTGGGCAGCCGCAGCGCGGCCCTAGGACCTTTTGTGGCTGCTCCCAGGCCCGGTGCGAGGCTGTCCCACCCCCAGAGCGGAAGGGCCGGGCGCAGAGCAGCGCGCAGCGGCTGGTGGCGGACGCCAAAGGCTGAAGGTGTCCCGGGAGCAGAGAGCTGGGCAGGTAGAAAATAGTCGACCTCGAGTCCCAGTCCCCGGAGGGGAGGACAGACAGGAGGAGCGGGAGGGGTCCCGGGCTGCACAGCGCCGCCCCTCTTCGCGCCCCAGGAGCTCCCAAAGAGAGAAAAGTGCCCCCAGCCACCGGCGGGCCTCCCCCCCCCCTCCCCGC